CGTCGATGACACACAAGTCGATAACACACTTCCCTGTGAAGGGTCACGGGAAGTGGCTTGGGTACGTTGTTGGTCACTATAGGTATGGCAAATCCAAGGAATGCTGTGTATAGACAGGAAATGGAAGTGGACGAGTAGAGTAGTACCGTTCAACGAAAATAATCCCTTCAAACTTCCTGACTTGTTGAAAATCGTAGTACCGCTTCGGGTTGTAAAACCCGAATGAGTTGTAGGGTAATGCGGCTATCCATGGTGCTGATGGGGTTGCTCGGCATTCTATTCCTGCAAGTCCGCCAAGTAAGGACGTAAGGACTGCATCTTTGAATAGGCCGAAGGGACGAGTGATGCTCGGATCTCATCCAACTACACGTTCGTTCTCGAGCGCGAGAGAAATCGAGTATGTGTTGTTTGGCACAACGTAAGTCGACTACCAGGTTTCGGTGTAAGTTGTTGGATATTATCAAATAGATACCATTGGTATTCGATAACATCAGTTAATCCTCTGGGAGGGAATCGGCGACGTCCATGGTAACTCCTCATATTTCCATTTTCGGTCCAATTTTTCGATTCGTCCTAGGGACTCGTTCGACTGTTATTCGAATCAGCTGAGGTCTAGGCAAGCAAACCCTATCATTCACTTCAGCGACGTAAGACAACCTACCAGGCTGAGAATTAGTTAGGCCGATCCATCCAATCCGAAAGGTCGTTTGATTTAGGTTGTGACAATAGATTTGAAAACCCTCGTTTGCTGCATTTGGGATGTTGAGAATCCTCCTTCTCTCCCTTTCCTGTGAGAAGGAGATCCTTCGGGATAATAGCTGACTACGACGTGTTGCTTCGAAAAAAATACCGGCTTCGGCGTAGCATCTTTATCTCTTAGGGCGCAACCCTCTTTTGATTGCTTTGACGCGTAAGCAAGGGTCAGTATTGAGCGCCAGTCCCCGGGCAGATTCAATGTCTCCTCCCGTGTCCCGGACTTTGAACGGACGACTCACCACGGACCCCCAACTCTTCGCTGGGTTTTCACCACCAAAACTGAACACTTCGCCGGAGAACTGCCAATCAATTCCGCCAGACTTAGACTCGACAGTCATACCGATGGCCGATTTCAGCACAGGGATTAATTAGTTTATGGAGAAGAGACTGCTTCCCCTGAGGAACATGCGGTTGTGCCGTCTAACACCGTGGCTGTTGGCTGTTGGCTGTTGGTCTATTACTTTCTTTATCAACTAGCAGTAGTCCGACCGAACATCATCGGATATGACGGAGGTAGCATTCTCCGGATACTATTAGTCTTCTCCGCGTTGGATATGGTTCCTGGAGAAGGGTCTTGACCCGTAACAACGGGGTTCTGATTTGTCGATGTTTTCAACACGCTTTTAGCTAACTTACGGAACTAACTTACTTTTAATAATTCGTACCTGTTTAATGCGATGAAGGCATCATGTGACCGCAAGTTAGATTGCCATTCCTGTTAGTTACGAGGACATGATACTGGGGTTTGCTCGATACGTGTGAGCATGTACTATAGGACCTAGTTAGTCCTAATAAATCACTGGAAATATAGAACTGTCTCTATAGTATGAACGACATACGTAAGTCGGTGGTTTGTAAAATGTAGGCATCGGCGCTCATTATGCCCGCCCGTTGACGGGCTGGTGCCGATTTACCGATCTATGATTCGATGGCGCCGGCACTTGGGCAGATCGAGTAGTAACGGGCCTTTCCCACCCACTCGGGACCCACCCCCCTGCCCTCAAGTCGCTTGCTGTAGATTTGGGAAATGCTAAGAAATAGCTGCATGATAAGTGTACGTAATGCTCTGGAGGCTGTGTGTGTATGCCTGTATGTGTGTGCTGGCTTGCTTACCTGTACCTATCACTTTATCACTTCTCACTCTATCACATCAATAAAACCAAAGAAAATTGACTCGAAAGGCAGAATTGGATTACTTCACCTAAGCACTAGGTATGGGTGCAGGCGGGAATCGCATTTTATATGCCCGACATATGGTTCTGAGTCAGCGAAGCTCAGCGTTAAATAGGGGTACGCTGACGTTTCTTTGGTGGTGCTGACGAGCACCCAATGGAATAATAGGTAAGGAATGCACTGTTATATGCGTAATTCCATTGTCTTATGTGACTCACCTGCATTTAATAATTACATTAATTTAAACTGCCAACGCTCAGCCGCGGGAGGGGAGTTGCGGTGCTATGGTTCGATATATTAGCATCTCTCAATATGGTGTTTTGGAGATAATGAACTAAGGTTGTCTAGGTAGGTTAGGGCTGGAGGAATTTAAGGGGAATGTACTTCTATTAAATATCAAGACCATTTAACCCCGCGTTTGTAAACTTGCTACGAAGCCTAAATATAGTCCTCTCTGCCGTTTGACCAGTAGCAGTCTGTAAAGCAATACGGGTGGCAGCCTGAAACAAGAGAATACGTCGTACGCCGCCATGCACATTATAAGACATCTACGTAACTTGAACTAGACCAGTATACGAATGAAGCTATATTTATACTTTCCGTTGTAAAGCGGATCAACTTGTTTGGGTCGGGAAAGTAGATACCGCATCGGGGCTGGTGGGTTCTTCTATACGAGATATCGATTCTATAGATCCCAAGATAAACAAAATTTTCTTTTCCAATAGCTTCCAAGAACGCGTAACTCGCCCGTTGACGTATGACCTTCTCGTATGCAGGTGTTCTGCAATATGACGGCTCGTGGAAGCCAGTGGACGTAAGGTGCAAGGGAAAATCCTGCCCTGTTCGAGAGAGAGACGGCAGGGCCATGAATGCCTTGCCCCCTATCGGCACCGAGACACTTGCGGTGAGGATACATATGTGCTCCGTGTTTCTACTGTCTGCAGTGTAAAACATCCCAAATATGCTGCGGCAAGCGACATAGCCGCGCGTTCTCGTCCAACTGGCTCGAGAGTTATCATATGACGGAGGGAGTAGTTATTTTGGGCCGAGAGAAGCTTCTTCGCATATCTACTCTAGGCATATATCTATGCAGAGGACGTTCAGATATATCAGACGGAAGCACTTCCGTTGCTTATCAGTGCGTTGACATTTAATTGTACGAAAGTCCCGAGCACGCACGTGTCACAGGCCGGAGCCTCATGTTACCACCATTTCGGACTCCGGGGAGGGGATATATGAAGTATGTAATCGGCTACTCGGACAACAGTAAAGAGGAGGAACGAACAACAATGATACATAAGTGAAATAACGAAGAGACATATCCAGGGCACAGAGAAGACCCTCAAAAGAGCACTTATGGGATTAAAAAGGGGGCTATAGGTCTTGTTTGGAAGCGGACATAGGATGGTCAAGAGAGAGGACCCGTGACCGACTACGACGAGCTTCAATACAACACAGTTGCATCACATTTAAGGAGAGGCCATACGACATATTTCCAACATGTTAGTGACGGTAACAAGGAATAGGAAAGAGTATTGGAGAAAAAGAGAGAAAGCTTGATATATTTTACGCAAGTTCGCCCTATGCCCGAAGATCACTCGACAATGACTACGGTCCCGATCCGGCGATTACTATAGTACCAGCGCTCTATAGGTCAGATATAAACACGGGCAGGGAACTAAGCAGTGTTGTGGTGCCAGAGTGTGTGATAATAGGACCAAAATGGCTCAGTCTTTCTCCATGAAGTGCGTTTGCGAGTGGTTCGTACAGGGACGATGGGATCGACTTACCGAGAACAGATGGAACTCAAGCAAGAAACCCTTTAGCACACGCGCTAAAAACCAAGAGATCAGATATATCAATGGCCACAGCTTTAAATGAGTTGAAAAGGTGTTTCGGCAACAGTACGATCGGACGATAGTACGGCGATTTTGGCTGAGTGATTGGTATTCCATGCGGGGGCAGGTGTCTACCGTTAGACTCCCAGTAACTGGAACAAGAAGCCTTTCGAACTACGGCAAAAACCACAATACAGTTATTCGTTATGACAATCCGTCAGCTTACTACTGTTTCGTCTACACTAAGCTTGCTTAGTCCGGAGAGGGGCGATGGTCGAGCGCCATGAATTTCCTACTCTCCATGCGATACACGCTTATTTCATAGGGTCGAGTACAGAGGCATTCCGAGACTATATCCTTGCGACCCGGAATTTTCATTGTTCAAATACTACGATTATATCTTTCGCAAGTCGGCAGGCCTTGACGATGTTTTGAACTCCTTTCCGGTTAGTACAGGCGATAAAGCGCAAAGTTGCGAGCATGGGCGCTAGCTATCACGAAATAGACCAGAAGGTCTGGAGAAGACTTTGTTGTTCCGCAAGTGTCTATAACTAAGGTAGCTCTAGGAAGCAAAGTTATCAATACAAGCATCTCCTTTGTTCGTCTACGTCTCCCATATGATACCTGACACCGACCTTACCAATGGAAGAACCTGGGAAGGTTGTTAATAGTAGTACTAAGGGATTAAATGATACTGATGCTGCTCAGTTATGGAGCTTATATATCGTCGCGACTGCTGTCAGGGATATGTGAGAATACAGGGATAGACTGGGTAGAGTAGGGCTCTACCGTCTATATAAAGGGTAGCAATCTCATTCGAGGGAGGTTAGAAAGCAGGGAGTTGCTAGTTCAACCGAAAATACAACATGTACGACCCTGAGTCCCTGACACTTACTCTGTATACGATGATCATCGATCGGGCATAAACCTTAACAACTGCCTATCCTGGGGCTTTAACATAAACAGGTGCCTAACTTATTAATTTTAAAAAACAAGGAGGTCAAGGTTATTGGACTCCCATTTTAGTACTCAGATGATAACTCTGCTCACTACTCGTTTCTACATCAGCATCTATAGGTATCTAATAGAAGAACCATCTCCCAACCATGTCACAAGTTGTGAGAATGAAGGATCTACTAGAAGTATTGGATATGTTAATTAGAAGGCATTATAATAATATACCTTAATTAACGCTTTTGAGCACCGTGAATTTCTACATAGGTACCTGTATATGGCATTCCAGAAGCACCCACAAATACCAGGTAGTCAAATATATTCACTTAGCCTTCGCGAATAATTCTATTGCATTCCAGGAGTTACCTACGGATAATCTGGATCCGGGTAATTTGCCCAGCGCCTCTCCGCCGATCCAAACGCCGTCAAGGACTCCGTGCCGTCGGGCTCTAACTCGAGAACGATAACCTCGTTCTCGGCATTATTCGGTCTGAGCAGCGTCCCCGGAAGATACAGCGACTGCTGCGGCCCGACGACCCAATATCTCCCCAGGTTGAACCCGTTCACCCACACGACGCCCTTGACGCCGCCGGGGACTTCCAGGAAGGTATCTAGGGCGGCTGGATCGGTTGAATTACCATCGCTTTCTACCGCGAAAGTACCACGGAAGAACACGGGTGAAGAAGAGTCGATTGTTGTTTTTGTTGTAGTTGCGGGGCTGGACTTGCGTTCAGTAGGAGGTGCTTCAAGGGGCAGCGAGTACACGTCCCAGCCGCTTAGCACCTCCGATCCGACCGTCACGTTGCCTTTAATGCCTTTATACGGGTCTTCGAGCGCGACAAACGTGCCTGATTCTCGGGACCAGTAGTCGACCCTACCGAGGTTCTCGACTAGTAGTTGGAGCGTATCCCCCGGTTCGAGAGACAAGCGGACTTGGGCCGGCTGAGCATACGTGCTGTCGATCACCCCGCGCTTCGTCCCGTTCACGTACACGATAACCCGATCTCGAGCCCGATCCCCAGGCTGCAAGCCCCCTTCCACGCTAGCCGCCACTTTATGCTCGTACAGGACAAGTCCGTAGTCCTGATCCAGCTCTTCCATCGTTACCGGTGACACGCTTGTAGTAGCAGTCTTCTCGCCCAGCGTATCGAATAGCGAAATCATCGGCGAGAGAGTAATGTTCCCAATCTCAAATAGAGGAACATTCTTCGGCGGTTCCGGAATAACGCCAACACCTCCCCGCGGGACGTACTTCCCAATCGCCTCGCGAAGCGCGAAATACATATCCGTCGTGCGCCCGCTCTCGTCCAGCGGCGCCCCGTAGTCGTAGCTCGTCACGAACGGCGCCGTGTAATTCTTCCAGATCGCGCCATTGCTAAAGCCGAAATTCGTGCCCCCGTGGAACATGTACAGGCTTATCGAGTTGTTCGCGCCGAGCACGAAGCCGAGGTCCTCCACGTACCGCTGCATTTGAGCGGGGTCTTCGGCCCCGGCGTTATGCGGGTTTCCGGATCCCCAGACGTCGGGCCCCGTCGTGTAGTACTCCCCGTCGAGGAGCGGACCCAGCTCGCTCGGCTCCTGGATATACCTATCCCTCGCCGCGAACCCCGCCCGCGGGTCCCCGTCGATCTCGGCCAGAACACCCGGGACCTCGCCGCCGCGGAGCGTCCAGTCGACTCCGCCGTCGTTCGTGTACAGCGGGACCTCGAAATTGCCCCGAAGAATATCCCTTAGCCTACGCGTGTAGTTATGGTCTTCCCCGTACGAGCCGTACTCGTTCTCGACCTGGACCATCAACAACGGCCCGCCCCTCGTGACCTGCAAGTCCCGCAAATCCGCCGCGAGCCTGTTTAAATACCCCTCCGAAGCCCGCATAAACAGCTCGTTCGAAGACCTCACTTTCATCCCCGGCACCCGGCTCAGCCACGCCGGGAACCCGCCCCAGTCCCTCTCGCCGCAGATATACGGGCCCGGTCTGAGCACGACGTTCAGGCCTTCTTCCTGCGCGATCCTAAAGAATTCGGCAATATTGTTACTAGTACTATTATTTTCCTCCTTGCCCTTGCCGTTGTCGACCCACTGTCCTGGCTTCGGTTCGAGCAGATTCCAGTACACGTAGCTAAAAATCGTGTTAAGCCCCATCGCCTTGGCTTTCACCAGCCGATCACGCCAGTATCCCGGCGGGATCCGCTGGGGGTCCATCTGCCCGCCGACGATAACGTACGGCTGACCATGGAGGAGGAAGGACCGACGGTCGTATGTGAATGCCGGCAAGGCGGCTGATAGCGTCGGACTTGGCGAGGAGTTTGAAGCCCACGCTGGGGCGGCGAAGAGAGTCGAGAGACCCAGTACAGGTGTATACCAACGCATCCTTTCTCACGAGGATTGGAAGACGTTCAAGTCTTTGTCATTTCATAGCTACCTGGTACCTATTATTCAGCGAAGGGTGCCAGTTAGATTAACCGGATTACCGCACCACCGGCTAGCGAACGTTCCATCTCCTTCCCCGCATTAGTCGTTGTCTGCGACCACGAGGGTCTATGGAATCCGGGTTTGGTGAAGGTTACATCCGCTAAAGCCCCTAACCTACCTCCTACCTATAATGAAATACCCAGTTGAAGAAAAAATGCGACGTCTTATCATAGCACATAGCCGCTACCTATCGCATAGTCAATCGGAGGCGGGTTACCTTAATTCGGTGAGAATAACGAGGGCGAGTATGGGAGGTAGCTTCACGGTTAGTTTCTCCTAACTTGGCCCCTTTCTCTCTTTTGAGATTCTCACGTAGTTACGTCCGTGGTTAGTATGGTACCTCGGTATCGCATTCGTATTATAATTACACCAGAGTAGAGGGGAAAATGGGATAGATGGGATGTGGATTCTAGTAGTTGGGACAGGCTATTCCCGATGGTAGATTGAAACAGAGTACCTACAATGTAGATCTATACGTGTATGAAGTTCTTCTTTTTGTATGCCCGCGCTGTCTTCTATAACTCCGATCCAACATGTCTACTTGTAAGCGGCCAACAATCATGTCGTGCAGCGTAATCTAACATAGAGTCGAGTCGCCCGTAATAGGAACAAGACTAAACTTCTAACGAGGCTACTGCTTAAGCCGGAGCGTCGAATATACGCTCGATGCCCTTCCACTCCCCCTTCGCTCTCTCCTCCCAGTAGCCCTCTTTTCCTAGCTTCAACTTCCACAGTTCCTCTCCATCTGGCGCGTCGGATGCCTTGACAAACCATCGCGGCTTGTACTCTTCGCCCTTGGTTTCCAAATCTCTTCTTCTCACGCGCTGTGCCTCCTCAAGCGTTACCTTCCACTCTTCGGCATCGTCAAGCTTGCCTTGTTCCGCAAGCCGTTGATCGGGCCGTAATCTAGTATCCGTAGGTGGTAGCCGGCCTTCCTCAACAGGGGTTATCTCGTTAAGGGTGGCGCTAAATGCCGTCAAACCGTAAGTGTTTGGTGCGTTGGGAACGAGTTGGCCAGCCTTCCAGACCTCTTTATTGGTTGCCTTACCGCCCTCCGTAATACGAAGCGAAGCAGTCCAATTTCCTATAAGGCCGGTCCCGATCTGGTTTCCATCTGCATCGAAGAGTTGCACCTCAACATCTTCACTGCGGCCGCCAAACATACCCTTCGTCTTAAATTCGATACTAGCTTTCGCTCCAGTGGTATCGTTGCATACGGTCATCGTCCCAACTGGCTCGACGTATTTCTCTCCCACAACTACGTTCCTTAAGAACATAGTTGCGAGATTCCACGAGTATAACTCATCGGTGCCATCTGGTAGTCGTAAGGCTACGCGGACCCGTCCCTCAGTAGTCAGCTCGGCACTCTTACCCCAGAATTTCTGCGAAGGAGCAGGACTTTGAGTGAGAGACCAAGCTGCGGCATCGGCATGCATTGCAAGGCGTAACGGACGGTGCGTAACCTTTTCAACAATGAGCCTAAATCCACCGGGAACCTCGCTCTCCGTACGAAGGAGCTCGAAAGTTTCACCCAGCAGGGGGTTAAAAGGCTTACGCATAGCACGCTCTTTTACACGGTTGACGCTAAGATGTGAAATGGCAAAAGCAGTGACATATACCAAACGGTCTTTGGGGGTTTTTTGCTGCGCGGCCTGGTCAAGAAGCTGAGCATACTCCAGCTGCTCCGCTACACGCTGCAGAGTCGATATAGGCTCGTTCGACGAGACAGGCATACTGATCGTACTCAGATCTTTACCAACATTTTTGCGGACGAATGCGATCAGACTTGGAGGCGGAACGGTAGCTGCGGGAATAGTTTTACGTCGTTCTACAGCGATGTCGACTGGCAATGGAGCGAGGGATTTGGGCCGTGCAGGATAGAGAGCCGCAGCACCACTTGCTCCCGCGTTCCCTTCGCCTTCTTCCACGGATGACGTTGAAGATGAGTCGTCAATAGTGGCATCATCAGCCTCGGATTCGTGAGAATCTTCGTCACTCTCGCGGCTAGCAATCATCATAACTTGAGCTCTGCTATCCGTTTCTCCTCCCTCAGCATCGAAGAACTCATCAGTCGACGCAGTGGACTCAAGACTTCTCCTAGAGGTAGCGGAGGCGGGCACTGGTATTCGTCGTTTCTTGCTATTAGCAAGTACCTTAGTAAACTCCGCGACAACTAAGTCCAGATCGTTCAAGAGAGCAGCGCAATGGTCATGGGTGTTTTGCTCCACTTGTTCGCCGTGGCTGGACCCATTCGGCGTTGGCACAGCCAACGCTGGCGAGGCTGCTGGTGCCGGAGAATCTGGTGGAAGGGGCGAGGAGCTTTGCTTTCTCTTCCAAAATGGGCGCCTGTCCTGTGTTGCTGGTGTGAAGTAACCATCGCTGCTCTCTGATACGGCTGCTGGGGAGGCCGACGTTAGGTGTGAAGTCTGAGGCCGTTGCGGTGGTTGTTTCTGAACAGCCATATCTTTAACCAAACGGCGTAGGGCGTCTCGCGTACCGACAATACGGCTAACCAAAGCTTCGACCTGCTGCCATTCTCGGTCCTCTTCTTGATGCGAATTTGGCGGGTTGACATGCTTAGCAGTTGCCACTGTAAGCTTTTCAGGAGAAGGCTCCTCGAGCGTCGGTTCAAGGCCCCTAGCGATTCTGCTCGCCTTTTCCAAAGCCCGTGCCCATTCATTGAATTCCTTGGCATTAGATGCTCTCAAGTGCCAAACTTCTGCTCCGGAATCAATGTTGATTTCCCTTCGCCGCTCGTCGGCAGCAATTGCAGCCAAACTCAAGGGAATTGCTCCTCTTAATGCAGACGAGTTGCGATTGTGATAGTATGACATGGTACAAGACGAATAATCCAGGGAAAAGAACCTTCGAGCATAACCTTGACCCTTCTTTCTCCGTCTCTTTAATAGGGTACCCGTGAATGTAGTTGACGATGCTATCCCATCGCTGCGAGCGCCCATAGATTTTGCTCGTTGACGGCCGGCTAGGTGACTCTGTAGACTTTCGGTAGACTCGGCTGGCATGTCCCCCAATTGTTGATTTGCTCTTCCTAGACTAGTTTTACTACTGCTCGCGTGGGAACCGGCTTGGAGGTTCGGGAGATGATGTGCCCCTTGCGGCGGCGCGCCTGTGGGGTAGGTAAGGATAACAACGGTAGCCGTCTTGGATGTTTGCTTGGAGAAGGTATTGTCGAATATTAAACCAAACATCCCCCCATGACCCTTTAGGACATCATATGTTCCCATGGACACTTTGTCGGCCTCGCATTTCCCATACCATTTTACTGGAATAAACCCTTTACTAGCCAATTGCTCCTGAGCTGTACTAGCATCTCTCTTCGCAAAACGACCCTTCCCATGGTTCCCGCTACCGTCGACGTGTTCGTAATCGTTATTCGTGCCGTCTAAGGTCGGTACTTGAGCTGCTGCGCCGTGGCCGGGATGCTTGACAATGCCGAAGTTACTAGCAGGACACATTCAAATTAGTATTATGGAATTGTTACGAACAAGGCATAGGAAGGGGGGATTTCAGGACTTACATGGACTTCTTATGGGGTTGGACACTCCATGAAATGGTTTGATCTTCGTCGACTTTGACCCATCGCACAATATAGGACTATTTGAATAGATGTTAATTCTCGGGCCTTGCGGAATCGTCATGTCTCCAGTAATAAGAACATGCATAGTGTTGTTAAGTACCTTGCTGTGGATTTCTAGTTGTTCTATCCCTGCCATCTTCGCAGTTGTGGTTGTAGACGACTATTGCTCATTCATGGATAGAATTGTTTTCTTTTCAGATAAGTCGAAACATTTCCGTCAATTGCCGAGGAAGGGAAGTTGTTGAGAATAAGCGGAAAGACAAGCTTAGGTGTTATTTTGTAAAGCAGTGAAATAAAATAGAGAATACGTCTGCCTGTTGCTTCTGTAAGCTGGTAGATGCACAACAAGGAATAAGCTGCATGTAATGTAATTCAGCCACAGCAACCCACGATCGGATGTACCTTGGGTGTACCTTGAGTGTATCTTGGGTGTTGTACCTAAATATGTCAGAAGTAAGAAACACACCTTTTCACAATATCTCGCCTCGCACAGGTTTATTGTGAACCGTTATTTATTTCAGATTGTCTCGAGAAGAAAAGGGGAAATAGAAATTCAGTTGTAAACTATTAAATAAAAAAATACTAGTTTAAAAGCGTCCATAAGAAATAAAATATTGGTACGAGCTACGGGACAGTCGGACAGAAGGCCTGACTAGGTACCTTTCAGTTAGTGCCTTGGCTAGTTCATGAGAGTGGATTATGTACCTGTTTGAAGATTGAGTTGTGGCGCAGAACATCAATGTTCCATAAATAGCTCACTCCCCCTTTCTAGATTAAATTACATAAGGTTACCTAGTAGGTACCTAGGTACCTAAGGTACTCATGAAAGGTTATGTCATTGCCCCTGAATCCATTCATTCACCACATACGAAGTAGTATAGTCGATTATGAACGAGGTATCTATCGTAATATAATGCTTTAATTTACTGGCAATACTACCTATTATCTACCTCCTAAAAAAATATGGATAGAAAGCCTATTTTCATAGGAGGTAGGTAACTTAGCATTTCGGCCAATGCTTGAAGCCTAACTCATTCTGGAGCTTGGGAACTTTTTCAACAACTTGGAAATAATTCAACTGTAGTTCATATCATCATGTTCACAAAACACTAGACACGGAAGAGCATACATTTTCATGAATAATATCCCCATTCAAGCTAATATTATCTGATCAATGAGATTACCTGCCTCAAGTACCTAAACAGGTATCTACCTACCTAGTCCCTGAGTAAATGACCAAGAAAAGTATGACAACTTTCGTCTTATATATTGTTAAGTATTGCCGTCTAGTAGGCAAGAAAGGTGTAGAAAGAAGCTTGCTCTATTTCTACCTACTGAGAGCGGGGCCACAGTTTTGGTGGTGGCTCTAGGTCACCTGATCAGGCACCTGTGCAACATTAAGCAACTATAATTTATTCACTAGAAATTGGCACAAGAGATGTCACTACGACTTCAATACGAGAGTGAATGACTGCTTAGTATCTACTGCACTATGTTAAGGCTCTAAACAAGAAATTATATATTCCAAGTAAGTAATGTATGGGACATCTCTACATCTCTCCTTTCTGTTCCCCAGCCATTTTCTACCACCACTTCCCATCACGACAGAAACCTCGCCCGCCGCTCCAGGAAGCCCTTTTCAACAAAGCACAAGCACTCAATATCAATCGTTAAGATGGATTGCTACAGGAGATTAGCGCATCACCTTTGCGCCAACTGCCAGACCCGGAAAGACGATCAGAAGTATGAAGTCCATGGGACTCGCTGCCCTAAACGCACGGAGACCGGAGAATGCCCCCGCAAAATGTTACTATTTAGGGAGACTACGCACTATACAACATATTGTAACAGGTGTAAATACAGATTACCTTATGGGCGATAGAAGGAAACAAGCTCGTTCATCGCGAAGAGGATATATCTTTAGCTACCCGAAGCGGTACACTTAGCAATGTACCCAACTCTCCTCTCTCCCTAGCACAACAAGCCTGCTAAGTCAGAGTACCGTCACTAGGGCCAGCCATTGCCCATACAAAATCAGCAAATCGTATATCTACAGTTAATTCAAAAAGGGAAATAGGTAAAAAATATATAGCCTTTTAGGGTAGCTTTCTTACACCTATTAGAGCTTTTACGATGTTTTTCAATTTTCTATATCGTTGTTCGGTCGCGAAATACTTGACAGTGTTATTTTGTTGTTATTACGAAACTCGAAGGTGGCTGTCAGGGATTAGCCCGTAATGGATGTCGTATACAGAGTGAGTATCAGAGAAGGCCAGTATATAGTATATTGGTGACATCTAGTAACGCCTGGCCTTCTAACCTCCTGCGAGGGAGCTGCCTGCCCTTTATATAGGCGATAGGTATCTTATAGTATCCATTTATCCACATACCCCTGACAGTGGCTACTAACGACGATGATAATCTGGAGAACCAGAATATCAAGAGCCTTGCAGCAGACCTGCAAGGCGGCTTTATCAGGTACATAAGCAAAGTCCTGACTCAGGTATTAGGTCAGGTAAAGAGTCAAAAGGTTATCCAATAAAGCTAGATAACCATGACTCCTGGCCGTGACAGTTGTTGTTTTTTTTTTTTTTTTTTTTTTTAGTTCGAGGATGATATTTTTCGGTTAGTCTTATAACTGCCACTAGTACCGAGTTTTACTAGACGACATAAATAACTATACCTAAGATATCCATACGGTAGGATAGGTAGAGACCTTATGCAACTAATGATGATGTCGATAAGTGGCAGATAAATCCCTTAATAACTGTCATGTTTTTACCTGAGTCGGTAGGGAACTACAAATATAGGAGCTTTTTATACCATGCCTGGATCATCATCGCAAATAAACTATCATAATATGACCACTTGAACAGGAAGCTGATAATTGTTCCTGTTTCTTGTAGGTATTCGCTCTACGTATAATACACACAGGTACTCAATCTCTCCGGCAGTACTCTAGTACCACTGTTACTGTGAGGGCGATGTGGCGGTTCCAGAAAATTGGCAAGTCCTAATACTTTATACACCAGGGCTTTCAATATCCCACACGAACCAAAACGCAGGTTTGATACACATGAAATTAACTTTAACTTGGATGCTTTGCAATAAAGCACGTAGTTAGTGATGGATTGGGCACCTAGTCAGTCATGAACTATTTGAGCATTTGAGATTTTGGAGACGATTCGACAGTCACAAACCATTATGCTCTTCTAACAGCAGTTTCTGGAGATATATTCCTAATATTCCTATAAATAACTTATTTTTAGCTTCGTCTGACGAATGCCTAGATAGGTAAGTAGAAGTTTATTACTACTTTACTTATATTGCATCTCCTCGAAAAGTAAATACAACCATTCTATCTGATCTTGAACAAGAGAGTCAAAGCTATCTAGTCACGTAGTGCTGAGCGTCAACCTCGCTCTAGATATATATATATATATATATACTTCTAGTAAGGGACAAGGCCTCTCTATTGCCGTCTTTCAACACCACCCTTCCTCCTAATTTCTGAACCACAGGCCCAAGTATCTCCCTACAAAAATCGAGGAATCATACACGAACTTTTGCTTCAGTGGGACGGAAGCGCAACACGGACCACTAATATGGAGGACATCAAAGGGTGCTGTCAGCTCCAGCAAATCCGCTTCATCTGCAGCGGCTGCAACGAGCTCGTGCACTGCATGAAAAGAGAAGCCTACACTCCCGCCTGTCCTAGAGACATGAGACAAGGGGTGGGCTGCCCTTCGCAACCTCTGCCGCAAGTACAGGTTCGGAAGAACTGGATATGTCAAAGCTGCGACCATGTGCTGCGTGCGTGTAAGAGAAACGATCGAGCTACGGGTACGTGGGACTGATGATTTATATGACTTCCGTATACGGGGAATACGCTGACTCTTCTCCCTAGGTACGTTGTAAGATGGATCTAACCACCTAGACGCCCTCCTCGAGAGTACTACCGAGAGCAACAGCAGCAGTTGGCATCCGGCGGTCAGAGAAACTATGATGGCGAAGCCGTGCAGGTATTTTTTTAGGAGCAAGCTGGATGGTTGGTTAGCAGATGATTCCGAGCCAGCAGTCTTATCGCTACAGAATTGTAGCTTTTCTTCACCAATAATTGATATTCCCATACCACACGTCCCTGTGTCGCTTGTGCAAATGTTTTCGACCCCGTAGAAGTGCGGAATAGGTGAACTGTGATGTAGCGAGGCGCACCGGTGTGCTCATCCCGGTGCAAGAGAACTTTTAGATGGACGTACTAGAGCTTACCTATACACCATAAGCATAGCCTTAGGTAGTACCCATGGCAGTAAATAACACACTCTCGATATCATGCTAGGGGCAGAAGGAAGTCCTAAGGATTCAAAACCCGGGTATATTCCACATAGCTTGCAAGCTTCTAGCCTCTGTAGATTCGATAGCGACGGTTATTCCGAACAGACACCCACCCGGTCCTATAAGGTCTTATTCAACTTGCTCAACGACCTTTCTTAAGAAAATGGCCCGTTCCTCTAGATTAGGTACCTGTTCAACCCGCCCCTGATCCCCCCTTCTCCGACACCGAATCCGACCTCCGAGCCAGCGGAGTTTCCAACGCGCTAGACCTCGGCCGCTCCCCCTCCGTCTCCGTACTGACCGGCCTCTTCTCCACCAGACTGCCCGGCCCCGACCCCGACCCCGACCCCGACCCTATCTCCAGCATATCCTGCGACCGCCACGGGTACGGCGCGTCCTCGGACATCGGCGACGGGGGGATATCCAATCTCTCGTACCGGCCTTCCTGGCTGCGAGTCGACGACGACAGCGACGAAACCATCGAATTCCCCCGCTCTAGGGAGACCGGCGACACCGGGGTTTCGGTAGTAGTAGCGTGTACCGCCAGAAGAGGAGCAGGAGGAGGCGGGGTGGTGGCAGGAGTAGTAGTTGTTGTAGCGGTAGTACTCGCGACGATGTCCTCCGACTGTCGAGCCCGCCCCTCCTCCTCCTCCTCCTTTTGGAGCTTCCCGTACGCCGGCGGCTCCCCCCGTGAACCGAGCATCTTCCGGCGTCCCTGGGCCCCGTTTCCCCGGGCCCTCCGGTACCGCTTGGTGATCCATATCGGGATGAACAACCCCGAGGCCACGGTTCCCGCGCGACCTACCGCGCGCATGTAGCTTGGCTCCTTACCTCTTCCTCCTCCTCCTCCTGCTGCTTCTCCCGTCGTCTCCTTTTTCCTCCGCCACTCTCGGGAGCCGAATGCGGCGAGCGAGGCGAGGAACACGAGTAGCATCAGCCCGAGAACGACGACGACCGGAATGGCCCAGGTGGGCATTCGCTGGTTCGAACTCGCGCTCTTTACCGACGTGTTCTGTGTACTGAGGTACGCACCGCCCGCATCGTCCGATATCGTGGGTTGAGGTGTAGGCTCAACTAGGGTACGAGGTGGTGTCGGTGTCGGCGACATTTGACTTGAAGTTGTGGTCGGGGTATCTGCATGTATGATGCTCTTATTGGTTGTTGTTGGCTTTCCTCCCTTATCTGTTTCTGAATGTTGTGATGATGGGTCAATGGGAGGTGATTGAGGAAGCATCCCCTTCATCCCCTTGTCGGTGGTATGCGGCTTATGAGAGCCATTTGATTTGGGATGTCCGAATAAGCCCATCATACCGCCCATGCGAATATAGGGTTCAATCACTACCTGTCCTTCGTCCTTTTGCCAATTAACAACACCAGGTACAGGTATCTAGCTTACTTTAGGTAGATTCGCGAACTTGAACTCGTAGAAACGCCACCAGAACCCAAGGAAGAGGATTTCGCAGCGGACATCCTGTTTATTACTCCCGCATAGAAATTAGGGCCGTCGGCCTATCTATTTCTGGATACCTGGCGCAATGTGCAGAAACTTTGATACATATCAGTGTCCGACCGGGCTGAGGCGCAGTCAACGATCGGGGTGCTAGCATTGGTTAAACGGTATGCTCATGGTAACCAACTATAGTCGACGTCGTATGAATGAAAGGATAGGGCTGCAGTTCTGTATGACATTTAGGTCGTAGATTTTCGTAAGAGTTACCTAGACCCTTATGGGCCGTGTCACCCTCCTTTTTCAAAGATATACCGTAGTACTATCGAACTATCGGTCTGCCTAACTTCTATCTAGGTATTACTTCGTTCGTAGGACATATTATGTATGCAGGCGGCTAATGTAGGAAATAGTGAAGATGGTTGGGGGCGGTTGGGGGCGCCATGTTTCGGATCCAGGAAGAAGATAGATCAGGGGCTCATCTGAGTGCGAAAAGATTTTCTTTCCTGACTTTTTACATAAGTATACCTAGGTAGGTAACTATTTGTTCAGCAATTAGTCTTCCTGCATTTGGAGGCGGCCATTTCGTCAATTACAACGTAGGGCCCTCAAGGCGCAACGAAGCATATTGAGCCATTAATATAAACATAAGCGAACCGGATCTATAGTCCTCGGTCAGAAGCAGGCCGTAGTCAATTCGACCTGTCTGGATTATTGCTGCGTGGTTGCATTTTTAGTTAGGATTCAAGCCACCAATATCTTAAACAACATCTCCATTAGGGTGGGGGGCCTTTAAAAGCTTATACTACTCGCACGAACCTGCAGTGGCGTATAAATATATCATGAGAGATTACGATGATCCGTGAGGCTGAGCTGATTGACTTAGACATTCTGACATTAGATGCGTCACGGTCTCACTCTATGGTCCTCTCTAAACAGGCAGAGGTATCGCATTAAGACCTTAGATAGGCAAGTATAAACTACCTAGCATGAGTATATGCAGACTATGCGTCGAACTAAACCTGTCATAATAGCTATAAATGATAGATTCAATTCTTTATCTACCCTCTAACCAACTATATAATACCTGCCCCTCGATGGCAGGGTTGCATCACATTTCAGCCACCACATGGGAAGTTTCAGTATTATTTTGATACAAAACGTTGGAACATTACACTAGGAATTGATTAATAAGTGGTAGTGCTCTACGGCTATATGCAGGTGTGTCGCCGACATTGTCAAGTCAAAGTTAGACACCTAGGTTAACATACATGTAACTCGTTATGAAGTCTTTTATAAATAACCCGAATTTATAGAAATCAAGGGAACTATTCTAGCATGCAGCACATGCCTATCTGCCCCCATCCAGTAGGAACAAGTCAGTTAACATTAGGTAGTTTCTTTAATTGCTTCATATAAGCCCTTCTGCGTGGTAACGCCCAAAATACGTGTAGCTTTACGATGCTTCAACGGAATTCTGCACATGTTTAGAATATAGGAAGATTTAACAATAGACTAACTTTTTAATAAGTTAACCTTACAGGTACACGATTTTATATACAATCAATCTTAGAAAAATATTTTCATTTAGTATATAACAGTCAGTTAGAGTGACCGATCAGAGGCTACCTACGAATGAACTTATCATACAAGTCATCGTCCCATGTGCTTTCGTCAGGTGTCAACATGTGCGTAGAAGAGCTATGAAATTCGGAATGCCAATGAAGCCAGGATTTGACAATCAAGCAAGCCCAAATTCACCATCACTCAGCAAAACCCCGACAGGCAACTTAGTCCAACAGTCTGGATAAGTGCAGACCATCCCACAGCGGAACCAGGAACGTTTCCAGGCGGTCATTCGCAGCCGCGAGATCGTTGTACTCGCGGATAGCAGCCACGTTGGCCGCCGGTACCGAGCCCTCCTTGTCGAAGTCGGCAGATTGCCAAGGGTTATCCGAGCTGGAGTCGGCAACTAAACCATGGCGGAGTGTGTTGTCCGCAGCGATGATCCCGCCGGGTCGGAGAAGTCGGTTCTTGGCGCCCGGAGCCGACATCTCCAAAATCTGGCTTAGGTAGCCGGTGTATCCTGTCTTATCCGCGTCGATGAAGATGATGTCATAAGGTTCGCTTACATCAGCCAGCTTCGGGAGGCTATTCGCATCCAAGAATAAAGTAAGTTATTTGTTAGGTACCTAAGGAGGGGGAGACATGAAAGGGGAAATCAACGAGTCGTTCACTGACGTTTCAGCAGCAGGACCGACGTGAACATCGATGTTCTCGTAGCCTTGTTTCTTCCATGCCTCCTGTGCCAACTTGGCGTACTCTTCACTGTACTCAAGACCGGTGACTTTACCCTGGGGGCCGATAGCGTGGCTCCAGATCACTAACAGCGGCATAAGTTAGTAAGTATTATAATAGATACCTACCTAAGTAGCTAAGTAAGGAGAAGATCCCGGGTATGCCTCGGGGTAATCGTCGCTTATTTTGGACGACTAACTCTCCTGAGACAGGCTAAAAAGGGGAGGGGGTAAGATTCAGGTGTTACATACTAGCCGAGTATCCAACGTAGACACCAATCTCTAGCACTGCGGATTTGATTAGCGGTATATTCAAGCAAGGTCAACCTCAGATAGATATCTAAAAACTAAGAAACTTGGCAGTATAATATGGGTTAATCATTTACCTCGCTTGGCACCAATGGCTCGGGCAAAGAAGATGAGAGCTTGAGACTGGAAGGTTGAGATCATGTAGTTGGAGTCGCTACGCTCCTCAATGATTCGGGCATGGTAGTCCTTGATAGGCTTAGGGAGCTGAAGCGATTGCGCCTCCGCGTATTTAGTAACGCGCTCGCCCAGCTTCTCGTTGGCATACATAATTGTTGTTCCGGCCTTCATAGTGACGATGTTTGATGTGATGACGAGATCCAGAAGTTGTCAATTTTGGATTTATGGTGTTTTGGTATAAGATAAGTACCGAGTTACGTCTTCTGTAATCCGCGACAAAGAACAGCGCAGTTTGAAGGCGAGTGATGAAATCGAGGTAAACTCACTAAGTTGTCTTGAAAAGAGTGATGAATAAAGAAAAAGAAAAGACAATGTCTGAGATCGCTGGGAAGTTGCAACAATTTAACAATTTAACAGCTGACGTGGATATTTTAGGTACCTCCTACCCAAGGTAAGGTATTGTGAGTTTATGGAAGTGACTACCGACTTAACCCACCTGCTAACCTATAGGTTAGCTACCTCCTACTTATACTCAATGAGAGGTAGGTTAGGTAGTTAGTAATATGGCATATGGCGTCACCCACACTAGTATAAAATAAAACTTGGTCGTTCTTCCCTGATACATGTAACTACCTCATGTATCACGAATCATGCTAGCTTTAGGTAGGTAAACTCCATTTAAGCAGCTACCTACCTACCTTAGGTACCTAAGCTGAGGAGGATCTTGCCCTACCACACACCAATCCCGGATCCGAGTGCCAAGCTCCGTAACTTCCTGTAGGACAAGGTTCTTTCGACTGACCAAGTCCGATCTCCGCGTCGTGCGATCCGGATCAGATAAGATTATTATCTCCAACTTTGACAGGGGAAAGCAGCATCGTCACCACCACCTGGTTACACAATGTCTTGTCCTGATTTATTCCCATACCTACCTGGAAGCTGTGATATCAGTTATCCATTTGAAAATCTTAATTTACCAAGCGTTTCTTTTCACCGAGCAATCCAAGTTCAATTACGAGACTTTATCACTACCTACCTAGGTACATAGGTAGCTACAGCTATAGAAACTCGAATTCCAAATGCGTACAGGTTTATACAGAATCATGCCACTATACAACGCCGATGCAGCATCCGAAAGCTCGGAATTCCGAGAAAGTCATGGCCTGATTCACGTAAACCTTAGGTTACCATCTCGAAAATCCTACCCAGCTTTGGCCTTACTCTCCTCTTCCTCTTTGCCATGGGTTGATAAGGTACCTGCCTAGGCAAGTATCTACATCGTCTTGGATTATAGTGCGTTAAACACCTATTACCGAGCGCTTATATTATGCTTATTCTAGACGGTTATAACCGCCGCAAAGCGTAATTACGATCGTGAGTAAGGATGTGTCGCCCGACGTCGGTCATAAGGGTAGCTGATGTGGAGAAGCGATGCGATAGAAAAAGACTCCTGGAACATACATTATAGTGCTCGTCCGAGCAATGAGAATTCGGAAATAGCGCGTTCTCAATAAACTATGGATCGATAGGACTACCAAAGAAGAGGGTGGGTTGGGTGAGAAAAAGGCCGGCTGCGTATCACCGGCAGTGGATCTCGAATCTTTAGCACTCGGCTCCGTCTCGGCTTCCGTGTCTTCGATGGGCTGTGGACCGAGCTGCTGGGGGGGGGGTTGGATTACCTATATCTAAAGCATTCCCTACCCAGAACTGCTCGACGGCTGAACGCGTGCGCGCTTCGCTTGCAGGGTCTCTGCCACGGGTGAAGGGTAGTGTAAGGATACACTATAATAGGGGATGAGGGGTGAGTTCCACTTCCCGAAGCATTGACGATACCTAGCATCCAGAACGTTCGCAGCAGGGGAAGCAGAACCCGCTAGACCATAGATAGCAATCAGTTGGTTGCTGATCATTGCGGCCCTCATCTCTCGATAGCCACTTTTTGCCTTGACTAACACGGGTAAAATTAAGATACAACGGAGGAGTAGCCATGGAGGGGGAAATAAGAAATGCAATGGGGGTGAGTCAGCTTAGGCGATGGAAATATCGTGGTGTAGGTTTTAAACAGCTGAGATGTAACATGGAGGAGTAGTTATAATGATTTTCAACTACATACTTGCCCCTTAAATAGGTAGGCAGAGTTCTCATTACGGAGCTTGTGCGCTTATGTTATTTCTTTGATACTTTCCTTCACGGTTTGAAGGGATAGATGTGGTTATCTTAATACCTACCCTAGTAGATAATTGATATACGCAAATGCCTATATTATCCCGCGATAGATGTTGCTACGCCTTACCTGTAGCACTGTCACACCATCATAAGAAGCTAGCTAGTATCAGAGTTCGCAACATCGGAATCATCAACAATAGCGTCGCCATGTTCAAGAGGATCGCGTCGCGTTTTGAGAAGAGTCGAGAGACCTAACTAGACAACAAGTGCCGAGACAAGGGGTAACACACACGGTCTTGGGGTATAATGTAAATGTTTTGTCTTGACTGATTTGCTCTTAGAATCGACGTTCAGTTTAGCCTTCACCCCTTACTCCTCTACTTTTGTATATTAACCCCTTTAATGACTCGCAGCCTCCCAAACCCACAACCTTTTCTCAAACGCCGATTCGAATATGCTGGGTACCATCGTCAAGTTTAGTCTTCTGGCACACCAGAAAACAGGCCTACTCTCATGCGGTGACTCTATAAGAATGGCTCATTAGTATCTCCGCCTAGTTTAGGGATAACAGGGGATTTGGGAACCTACAAAGGGCAGCTTCGGTATAACTACCGCTAGTACAGCTAGAAAGTTGATGGTGAAATATGTGAGGTCGTAGTGGGTATAGTGCGTACTTAGGAGGAAGAGCACAATAGGAACGCTGAGCAGGAATTTCTTGGCGGGGGTGTACTGCGCGCCGTCGTCGATTTGTTCCCACATATTCAAGTTATCATATGCACCACTGTTAAAGTCGAAGGGTACGCCGCGGACGTAGTGGAACATGATGTAGGAGCCGAACATGTAGGAAATATTGGTCAAAGTCCAAGACGTCTCCTGGGAAACACCGGGTATAACATCCCAAAGAATCTTGAGCGCAAGGATCAGAACAATGTGGATGGTCCACGCCCCTGTTGACATGTCCTTGTTAGTTACCAAATTCGAATACCATGAAAAGCAGATCATGAAAAACTGCTACAATTCTAGAAGGTATAATCCCCCCCCTATACTCCAAGATTCCGACATACCTTTAGCGTTGACCCAGTTCGCATTGAGATTCGGAAGGGTAGACTGGTCGTTCAGCTGTTCTATCGGTTCCTGAGGTTCTTGATATATCTGGAGGATGCTGCTCGACCGCCGCCTCCTAGCCGACTTAGAGTCTCCCATATCGAGATACGTGGTACCTCCCCGTCTTGGAGGATTTGTACCAACGTCGTAAGAGACGGTGCGGGGAATGAGGATTGGGGAAGACACTTTGGCGGTATTGGACGAAGAACTCGAGTTGGGTTTCTCGGTTTTGTTCGTCATCCAAATAGCTCGATCCGGGAAACTTTATTGTGTTTCCTCTTTTCTCTTCGACGTACCAAGGGGGATCGCGTACGAGTACGATATCGCTATTGTGAGGATAGAGTTGGAGATGATCCGAAGGAACAGCTAGCCAATCAAGTGCTAGACGTGGCGGCGTAAATATAGAGGGGACTACCTAGGTAGATAGTCTACAGGGTATCGCAGAGAATGCAGCCGATGCTGAAGAGTAGAAAAAGCTATATATGCCGTGTTAGGAGAGCGGAGTCGGAGAGGACATGAGGAATCAAGCGTCGAATGCAAGATGATGCAAGATGGAGCAAGAGAGAGATAGAGAGAGATTCTAGTACCGTAGCTCCGAGACTGAGAGAAAAGACGAGGGAGTGGAAATAATTGATTGGCGATGAATACAATTAATTGAAGTGCATTACGAATAAAGTGGTAGATGACGAAGTTTAGAAGAATGTTAAAAGAGGTTGCGGGAGGTTGAGAGATAAATCAGGTTGAATCTGAATGGTTTACCTTAGGTACCTAGGTATGGAAGGTGATGATCAAAGAGTAGCAGCGAAATAAATCAGTCTAAAATCAAGCAAGCAAGCATTTGAACAAGGACAAGTTTACGAGATGGGGTACAAGAAGCCAAGGGGCTAGGAGGGGCCAGAGGGGCTAAAAGGGCTAAAAGGGCTAAGAGAGAAGATTTAGAAGGCGTCTATTGGATAAGGTGACTTGGGTTGTTAGCTAAAAAGTTAACTAGACTAGGTTTAGGTACCCTGGATATTGAGGTACCTATTGTATGTATTATATTGTACTGGGTAGCTTTTGCACAGCCTGGATCGCGTGGCTGCAGCTGGAGATTTCGGGGGTTTGCTGGGTTTGTTGGGTCTCCGGTCATCTAAGTACCTGGTATGTTAATCTTGCGTTAAGCTTTGCTCCAAAGGTACCTAACCTTAGGTGCCTTAGGTACTCATCAAAAGGATCAGGGGGTACCATTAGGTACTACAGAGTCTCACGAGACCACGTGATGTTCTATATGGTGTTCCATTCCTTCCCAAGCAGTCGGGCTCCGCGGAATTCGACCTTAGATTTGTTATCATTTTTAGGCTATATTGTTTAGATAGATAACCCTATCAATACATGCCCATATAAAACAGTATACAGCCCCGCTAAATGTTACTCTAATATCTGGTTACGTAGCTAGCGTGTTTCAATTTATAGATCGCCACATGTGAACATATACCCAGTAACAAAAATGTTACCTTGATCCATTAATTTCTATTAAAAAGAAAAAAGAAACAAGAAAAAAAAAAAAAAAAAAACATTCGAAGAGCCGCATCATCAACATTCACCAATTTGATGATTGTACCTGACAACCTACCCACCTCCAAACCTTTTTGAAAATAACATTTCCGAATGCGCTTTTACTTATTTGCTTACCTTAGGTAGACAGTGAATAAGAGTTATACCTGTTATTTACATTCGCCCCTAAGAAAGTATCTTTCTTGCCTTGTCTTGCGCTACCTAGGTGTTGAGACCTACGGCTCAGCAAGAACGCGGCGTCGCGGCAAGATCACGGCAGGTAAGCTTTATTACTACTTAGTTCCAATACTAGTACAGTATTGTTTTGGCGGGGGGGGGGGGGGGGGGGGGGGGGGGGGGGGGGGGGGGGGGGGGGGCGGGGGGGGGGGGGGGGCGGGGCGGGGGGGGGGGGGGGGAGGCGGGGGGA